TGTCACCCACACATGGTGTCACCCACACGGTTCTCTAGATCCCTTTGGGGGAAGTCAGCCTCTACTGCTCTCCACTACCGTGGGCCGTGCTGAGCAGCCCGAGGAGCTTCAGAGGGCGCTGCCTTTTCAGCGTGGCTCGACACTGATCTTATAAGGTTGACTGTGAGGAAGCATTTGGGTCAAAGTCCCCACTACAATGTAGCAAGAAAGCAAGGGAAAGTAGATAGGAGGACAAGCTAGTTCTGAAGCCTTCTCTACACAGGGCAGCAACAGGAACACCCAGGCTGGGATCTCAGGCCATCATAGCTTTCCTGGGTGCCCTTTCCACACCAGGCTAATAGAGTCTAGAGGCATCCTTCCTCGGGGCCCCTTTTAAAAGGCTAACCTCCTGGTGACATGCTAACGCCATCCTCAGAAGCTCAGGTAGAAGGGATAGAGGCAAGCAGAGAGGAAGGAAAAGAGCACGGGCAAATATCACGGAAGTTTCAGGAATTATGTTCTTAATCAGATTTTGGCTCCTGAAAAGTTGACTTTGAAATTTGACCAGCTCAGTTACTCTCTTTTCCTAGCAACCTCTCCACCTGCCTCAGGCTTCTTCCTCTTCAGCCTCCCAAAAATTCCAACTTTCTTGAAAGTTTGAACCCACAGAGACACCTGTTGAAGTCAAAGGGAAAATTGGAAGCTTGGCTTGCAAACACAAGTCCCAGCATATTGCACTAAACGCATACATTTTGGACCCTCACGCCCATTCCTTGCTGTTGTTGCTTCCTCTGGGGAGACTGGGATCTGTAAACATCACTAGGAGGGCAGAGTGAGGCACACCTGGGACAGTTGCAGGAGCAGAGACTGGGCTGGATCCAAGGCCTGACTGCAACTCTTGACTTCCATTTCAGTTGAAGCCTTTGCCGAAGCACACTCAGCTCTCAGCTAGTCCTGCGAGTGGGAAGAACCAGCTCCAAGAGTCATCCAAAACAGTGGGTAGTCTTTAAGTATTTTAATATTCTAAGTATTTAAATCTGACCTTAGGATAGAGGATACAAATCAGGCCCTCTAAAAAACTGCTATTTGTTTGTTTAGCTTTAGGTTTATGTTCTCAATCACATTCTACTTAAGCTGATTTGGGTAGTATAGCAATCGGATGGGAGGCAGGGCATCCGGGAGCCCCAACAAGGAGGTAAGAGCATGCCTGGAGTTGGGCACCCATGAAGGGGAATCAGGAGTTAACCCCATTGGGCTTACTGCCCAAGAGCAAGTGAAATGCCATAAGTAAGGTAGCTAATTGAAGAGATAAATCCATATGGGGGTCTCAATTTCCTTCCTGACCCGACCCACAGCAAAGCTGCCGAGGATGGAGAGGCAATAAGATTTGTGGACTGAGAGAATGTTGGGGAATGTTTACCCTGGTTTTGGGTCCAGAATCCTGCAGTTTCTTGAGTCATCACTGCTTTTAAGAGAATAGGGCTGAATCCAAGACCCCAGGTGCTGGGAGCAGGGGAGCCTGGACTATTGGATTGCATGTGTGGATTCGATTTGAAGGAAGGGACATGGCATGGTGGTCTGTATTGGGCTGCCAGCTGCCCCAAATCCTTCCACACCCCGTGTCCAGGTTTCCAGGGGAAAGAAGGTGAACAGGTAGAAACCTCACAAGACTCTTGGTCTTAACCAGAGAACTGCTTGGTGTGGTGGTCCATCTTTTAGCTTTAAATTCCAAGGGTTACTTCTCGGGACTGAAATCTGGTGGTAAGAGAAGAGACTAGAGAGAGATTTTTTTAAAGGATACTGAGATACAGGCTAGGGAAAGGTGATTAAGTCTGACCTCTTGCTTGTGTCCATCCATTTATACCTCTGGGGGCAGAGCAATGGATTTGACTGTATGCCTGCATTTCATGTATATTGTGTGTGTGTGTTCTTGGGCGTGCATGCTGTATCTTGTGTGCCTAGTATATGTGTTGTGTGTACACACTAAGTTCGCATGTATTCTGTGTGCAGAAACTATGACAAAATATCCCTTGTGCATTTTGCATGTATCTCCATCGTGTCCATGTAGTTTTGGTGTATTTTGCATCTGAGAAGCAGGCTGCATATCTGAATGTGGTGTTTGTCTTTCGAGCATGTTCTGTGTCGCTAAGTACATTCTGTGTCTGTGGCGTGTGCAAATTTTGTATATAGTTATGATCATACATCTTCTGTGTCTGTCCTTTACATTAATGTGATCTGTGTATACCCTGTATATGTACCACATTTTGTATTTGTGTGGCAATGGCATATCTATTTTGCGTGGATGTGCATGAATGTGTGTAGACAAAATATCCCTTGGGCATTTTGCATGTATCTCCATCGTGTCCGTGTAGTTTTGGTGTATTTTGCATCTGAGAAGCAGGCTGCATATCTGAATGTGGTGTTTGTCTTTCGAGCATGTTCTGTGTCGCTAAGTACATTCTGTGTCTGTGTGGCGTGTGCAAATTTTGTATATAGTTATGATCATAAAGGACTCTGTGATAAATCTACCCCTTTCCCTAAGCCTCAGGAATGGGTTGCTTTACCTTCTGTTTTCCAAAGGTCCATGTCCCTCCCACCCCATGCACTGGAAATTCAGCACCACCTCCATGAAGGAGAGGAAGAGAAGCCCAGAGGCTTTGTGCTAGACACGGGATGCCCTGCAGACACCTGGGGAAGCGGGTGACCAGGAACTAACAAGCACCCTGGGCCTAGCACCCTGAGCTGGTGCCCCACGTCCCCAAGACAACTGTAGGTGCTAACCAGGTAGCAGTGAGATGTGGGTTGGAGCCACTGCTGGTCAGCCTGGCCACTACAACTCACTGTTTGGGAAACTCACGCTACTATGTCAAAAGGCAAAGAAGCCCAGTCTGGCGAGTCAAAAGTCCTTGAAGGATTGTCCCCCACTTGAACCCATTCCAAGGCCAACCTACTATCTACCTTTAGGTGTGCAGTGCTCATTTACTCTCTACCTGTTCTGGGGGACAATTCTTTACTGATCCTTTGGTTCTTCCTAAGAAGCAGCTCTGGTTGCCAGTTTACCAGGGAGAGAGCTTAGTTGTGACCATCCAAATGATGACTTTGAATTATCTAGGGACTTCATCCCTTGGTCCTGGACTTCAGGTGTTTCCACACAGAAGAGGCTCCTTTTAAGTCCAGATGAGTGGCATTTGGTCCCAGGGAGTCCTACTCCTTGGTTTCAAAGCAGGGGACCCATTCTGGCTCTTTAGGGAAAGGTTCATGAATGTGACAGACACAGAGCCAAGTGATAAAGAGATTCAAGTGGGGCGGGGAAAGATGAGAATGGGAATGCTGAACAGGGTGGACCGTGGAGAAGAGGCCCAGGGTAGGTCTGGCCCAGGACAGCTGGAACTGTGAGGGCCACAGGGCCCTTGTGCACTCAGTAAGACAAGCTTCAGCTGTGGGAACTGAAGCTGCAGCACATGGAGGGCAGAAAGACAATTCTAACGTCTAGGAATCCATGAAGATTGGAGTGTCTGAGGCAACAGCAGCAAACCCAGGCCCAGTGGGGTTACCAGTGAGACAGATAAACCCATTAGGCCTCTTAGACAGCCAACCCACCGGGCAGTGGATTTGCCCCTGATTCTGAACTCCAGAGAATGAATATATATATAAATATGTGTGTGTGTGTATATACAAATACACACATGTGTATGTGTATATATATATATATATATATACACTCTAGTGCACATAGCCAAACACATGCATAAATTGCCCTGTGTCAAAAATATTGCATAAGCTTATACAATGCTCAAATGCAATTTTCTTTTATAGCTAGCTAGGTAGAGGAACGAGTGAAAGAGAGAGACTCGATATATATTTATATACACTGGATCCACAGACCCGCCTGTCACCAGGACCAGATGCCCTGGTCACTGTACAGTCATGCCCATGGCTAGGTTAATTCCTAAGGTGCAGCTATGAGAGGTGTTCAGACGCCATTTCCCCTGCTCACCCTCCTGGCTTAGCAGAGGTCTGTGCTCCCATTTAGAAGAACAGGGGTGGGTAGACTGAGGGGACCAGAAGTTTTTGTTCCATTCCAGATAGTCTATTTTTTTTCCTCCCGTTGGAGGATTTTTGCCTTCAGATGGGGGAAAAAAAACCCTAGTTCAATGCCATTCCAAGGTTATTAGTATTCTAAATGTTAATACTGTATAGGCTACTAGGAAAATAGGTTATCTCCTGTGTTTTAAATATTGAGATTCATGCAACAAACACCCATGCAGTTCTATCGCATCACTGGTAAATTTCACTGCAGTGTCAGTGTAGCCGGGCCACATCACCAGGAAAGCAGATGTCTGCAAACTCCAGTGTAAAGGAAGACATCAGACAGGTTTTTGTGACCCTGAAGCCTGCAAAAATGGTAAAATCTGAAGCTGAGAGGTCCCTTGGTTTGTTAGCTTCTCCCCATAGGCCTAAAGAAACAAATGTGAAACTTGACAACTCATATTCGGTCAAACTCACTGTACCCCCTGCCCCGGGTTTCCCTCACATCAACACTGCAGAGAAAAAACAGAATGCAGCATTTTCCGTTATGAAACACAAGCCTCCCAAGCATCTAGTTGGCAACTGTAATTCACAAACCCCAGCCTGTGACACAGAAAGTCATTCCAACACACAGGACTGTGTGTTCTTTGCAATGCAAAAATGGGAGTGACCTTTGGAATAATCACCAGAGCTTTTAAAACCAAGCCATGATGGTGTTCCTCTGTGAAGGGGCAGGTGGGCTGAAATGGGGTGGTGGGGTGACGGTGGGGGAGGGTGCCTCTCCCAGGTGTCATGTGCACGATCAGTAAGGAAAGGTGGCACTGATATGGGGCCCTGTGTGTTAGATATGAGGTGGCCTTAATGCGTCTTTCCGAAATTCTAACTTGTTAGGTGATTCCCATCTTTGGAAACCCATAAGCCAGTGAAGAGGATGTGCATGAAAGCCGTGATAGATATTCTGTGTTCTAAATCAAAAATCAAAAGGTCAAAAGTCACTTGCACGACTACTGCTTTCCATGCAGAACCGGATACACACTGTAGAACACACTGACTACAATGCAGGTTATTATGCAACATCTGCATTAGTTCCATCGGGCTGTGAGTATGTAACTAGGTTTCAGTCAGACATCAGTCAGCATTTTGGTAATGTTCACATAGTTTGTGTTAGCCAAGGTGCAGTTGGCTGTCTTCAAGTTTTCCTCTCTAAAGTCCTCGTTACTGTTGTTTACCCCCTCCTGGATCTCCATATAATCAGACTTACTAATGGTAGAGGCACTTCTACTTTTCTTTAGGTCAGGGGAGGATGGGATCTTTGGACAGCTTGTCACTTGCAAGTACTGGGCCTGTTCCTCTCCCTCCGTCTCCCGGTGGTAGAAGTAGTTGAAATTGGACACAATGACAGGGACCGGTAAGGCAATGGTTAACACACCTGCAATTGCACAGAGGGAACCCACTATCTTCCCCCCAATGGTAGTTGGAACCATGTCTCCATAGCCTACAGTTGTCATGGAGACGACTGCCCACCAGAAGGCATCCGGGATGCTGGGGAACTGGGAGTCACGCTCATCGGCCTCAGCAAAATAGACAGCACTAGAGAAAAGGATGACCCCGATGAAGAGGAAGAATATCAGGAGGCCCAATTCTCTCATGCTGGCTTTGAGGGTCTGCCCTAGGATCTGGAGACCTTTGGAGTGTCTGGACAACTTGAAAATCCTAAAGACTCTTACCAACCGGATGACACGGAGGATGGCCAGTGACATGGCCTGCTGGCCCTGCTGAGCGTCCTCTGGCTTCTCGGCCAGCTCTGTCCCCAGGGTGATGAAGTAAGGGATGATGGCCACAATGTCAATGATGTTCATGATGTTGGTGAAGAAGCCGGCTTTGCTGGGGCAGGCAAAGAACCTCACCAAGAACTCAAAGGAGAACCAGATGATACAGAGAGTCTCTACGATGAAGAAAGGGTCAGTGAAGGAAGTGGACTGTTGGTACCCAACGGTGCTGTTGGAGTAGGTGTGGAAGGTCACCCCGCCACTATGCATGTCTTCATTCTCGTCTCGGAAGATGGGTAGTGTTTCCAGACAGAAGCTGACGATTGAGATCAGAATCACCATGACAGACACAATAGCTATAATCCTAGCAGGCCCTGAGCTTTCTGGGTATTCAAACAGAAGCCACACCTGTCTCTGAAACTCGTTTTCAGGCAGAGGCCGTTCTTCCTCCTTGATGTAGCCTTCATCTTCCCGAAACATCTCCATTGCTTCTTCACCCAGCTCATAAAACCGGATTTCTTCCGAGAATATATCTAAGGGCACATTCACAGGCCGCCTCAACCGGCCCCCAGACTGGTAGTAGTATAAAATGGCATCGAAGCTGGGGCGGTTCCGATCGAAAAAGTACTCGTTTCGGAGAGGGTCAAAGTATCTCATTCTCTTCTTTGGGTCCCCTAAGAGGGTCTCTGGAAACTGGGCTAAGGTCTTTAGCTGGGTCTCAAACCGCAGCCCTGAGATGTTGATCACCACCCTCTCACAGCACTCGTGGTCTGCCTCTGGGTCATAGGTGTCCTGCGGGTGCCCAGGGAGGGCAGCAGCCTCGTCTGCGGGGTCTCCGGTGGCCACTGTCATAATTGGTGCTGAGAGAAGCGCCTCACGCTAAACCTTCCAGCTGACTGGCGGCAGGGAGCTCAGGGTGCTGCTAACGGCCCCAGAAAGCACAGAAGCATTGGCCCGGGCTCCTGCAGGAGAGCACCGAGAGCTCCCTGAGAGCTGGACAGACAGCCTCGCTGGGCTGAAAGACAGAGGCAGTTAAGGACATGAGACCACTCGGCATTGGCAGCCTGACCTGGGTTGCCACTTTTTGTCTCCCATCTCTCAGCCAAGGATTCAGAAACACGACCTCCACCACCACCATCACAGAAAAGCAAAATGTACTTTCACCTTGTAACTTGTCTGAGGATCAGAGGGAAGCAGGTAGTAATCTCTCAAGGGACCTCTGGGACGCCCTGCACTAGGGGAAGGTGTCTGGTACAGGTTGCCTTGCACTGCACAGACTTCATGGAGCATAACCTCCTGCTAGTAGGCCAGAAGAGAGTCCTCTTCCAGGCATTGCACTCAGGTGTCAGATTCTTGCACCCCGGGGAAGTATTCACGGTGGGGGACCTTGGGCCTGGGTCTTCCTCATTGCCTCCCACCCCATTGATGCTACACACTGCTGTTATTAAATGACAGGTTGATTTACCTGGCCAGGCCTTGCAGAGCTGATCCGACGCTGCAGGAATCCTAGATACACATACAGGCAGCCCAGCTCCCCATCACGGCTTCTCACTTGAGCTAGAAATAATGGTGAGTCATTCTGGGCAGGAGGGCAGACTCCGGGTCCTGGAGGTGAGCTCTAGGGCTGGGCCGGGCTGGAGGGGCAGTGGGCTGCCTGGCCAGGGGCATGCGGAACTCGAGGACAGCCGAGGGAGCGTGGGTCTGGAGCCTTTGGAAGGAAGGAGGCAAGATGCAAAGCTCAGCAAAAGCCAGAGTACTGGCTGTCCTCAGGAGGTGTGACGTTGCCTGGAAAAAACAGCAGCAAGGTGGAACCAGGGCTTTTGGGCAGCTGGTGCCAAGGTTTAGGAGGGCTCTGGCAGCCTCCCTCACTGGAGGTGACAGGTCCTCATGCCCACCTTCCATCCTGATGCCATGCCCGAGAACTATCCCTCGGCCTCCCAGCCTCTCCCAGGCAGGCTTCCCATCAGCTTGAAGCACTTTCTCTTAGGGAACAAGCCTTCAGGTTTGGCTGGGCCTGTCTTCTGCAGGGGCCTTCCTGGGTTGATCCAGACCTCTAGTCCTCAGCTGCCATCAGAAGGACTCTGGGCAAGGCGCCCCCCTCTTCCTCCCATGTCAGGACACAGCATCTCCCAAGGGAAGGCTTAGCTGACTGCAGCCTGAGTACAAGCTCTGACCTCAGCTGAGTCCTGGAAAAAGCAGCACACGCCCTCCCTCCCCCAGTCCCCAACACACACTCCCCCAGAGCTCTAGGGAGACCCCCCACACAACAAGGTCGCCTCTGGGCCCAAGCTGGGTGAACTTACTCTCCCTCCGGGATCCCTGGGCCGCAGGCCTCCCTCTGAGCCGGGTGGCATTTGAGCTGGGCAGGCGCTCGACCACTGATTTCTCCCCAAGAGAAAATCCCTCACATCTCCTCGGCAGGGAGCGCAGAACAAACGCTCAGCCCGCCTGGCTGCCAGGCGGTTTGGCAGCAGCCAGAGGGGGAGCCTGGAGGAAGCCGGCTTCCGGGCTGGCCCCCTGCCGACCCAATCTCTCCGGCTGCGGGGCGGGGAGGGGTCCGGGCCCGGTCCCCATCGCCTCGCGCTCCGGCCGGGATTCCGGCCGGGCGCGCGCCTCGCTGGGCTCCGCGCGGCGGACCAGACTCGAGCTGGCCGGGCCGCCAGCGCCACCTTAACCCTCTCCTGCCCGGGCCGGCGGCTCCCGCAGAGGGCCCAAGTCAAGCCAGCGCTTCGGCCCCAGGGGTCCTGCGAGGGACCGCCGAGGCACCGCCTGCACCGAAAGCCCCGGAGCCTGAACTCTGGGGGCGGGGATAGGCTGTGCCTGGCTGGTGCCCCGGATCGCTGCGAACTCTCGAGCGCGGGGGCTCCGCGGCAGCCCCCGGCCCCGGCGGAGGGGAAAGCCCTTCTCCGCTGCGGAGCCGTTTGGCACTTGCCGCGGGAGAGGCGAAGTCCCACCAGCCGGCGCTGCTTGCCAGACATGGCTATG